GATTCTTTGTCTTTAGTTTATTGAAGATCATTGCTTTGAATAAAATAGAGGTTAAAAAGGGGACGTATAAAAGTCTCCGAGACTACTATGAACAACTCTATGCACACAATTAGAAAATCTAGAGGAATCGCATAACTGCCTGGAAACACATCATCTCCCAAGATTGACTCAGGAAGCGTTTGAAACCCTGAATAGACCCCAGTATCAACTTCTGAAACTGAATTAGTGATAACCTATCAGCCGAAAAAGCCCTAGACAAGATGGATTTACAACCAAATTCTACTAGACACACAAAGAGGAACTGGTGCCAAGCCTACTGAAACTATTCCAAAAAATTGAGGAGGAGAGGCTTCTCCCTAACTTATTCTGTCAAGCCAGCATCAGCCTGATACCCAAATCTGGCAGGGACACAATGAAAAAAGAAAACTTCCGACCAATATCCCTTATGAACATTGCCAAAATCCCCAACAAAATAATAGCAAATTGAATCCAGCAGCACGTTGAAAAGTTAATTCACCACAATCAAGTAGGCTTTATCTCAGGCTGTGAGATGCAAGGCTGGTTCAACATAAGCAAATAAATACGTGTGATTCACAACTTAAACAGAATCAAAAGCAAAAACCATAGGATCATCTCAATAGATGCAGAAAAATCTTTTGATAAAAGCCAACATCCCTTTACGATAAAAATCTTCAACAGACTAGGCATCAAAGGAACACATCTCAAAATATTAAGAGCCATTTGTGACAGTCCCACAGCCAACATCATGTGGAATGAGCAAAAGTTTGAACTATTCCCTTTGAGAACTGAAATAAGAAAAGGATGCCCACTCTCACCACTCCTATTCAGCATAGTAGTGCAAGTCCCAGGCACAGCATTCAGGCAAGAGAAAAAAGGAAAAGGCCTCCAAATTAGAAAAAACATAAACTATCTCTTTTCACTGATATGATTCTATACAATGAAAATCCGTAAGACTCTCCCAAAAGGCTCCTAGGATAAATGACTTTAGCCAAGTTTCAGGATACAAAATCAATATATGAAACTCAGTAGCATTTCTATACACCAACAAGGTCCATGCTGAGAATGAAATCAAGTGCATAATCCCACTTACAGTAGCCACAAGGAAAATGAAATACCCAGGCATACAGCTAATAAAGGAGGTGAAAAATCTCTACAAAGAGAATTACAAAACACGGCAGAAAGAAATCAGAGACAAATAAATGAAAAAATGGTTCATGTGCATGGACTGGAAGAATCAATATCATAAAAATGGTCATACTGCCCAAAGCAATTTAGATTCAATACTATTTTTATCAATCCACCAATGGCATTCTTCACAGAAATAAAAAATACTATTCTAAAATTCATACGGATTCCAAAACAAACCTGAATAGCCAAAGCCATCCTAAGCAAAAAGAATAAGGCTGGAGGAATCACACTACCCAACTTCAAACTGTATTATAAAGCCACATTAAGCAAAAGAGCTTGGAATGGGTGCAAAAACAGACACATTATGACCAATGGAGTAGAATAAAATTTCAGAAATCAAACCACACTCCAACAACCATCTAATCTTCAACAAGGCCAACAATAGCAAGTAGCAGGAAAATAATTTAAATTCCTTAAATCAAAGCCACAGTGAGATACCATCTCATACCAGCCAGAATGATTATTGTTAAAAAGTCCAAAAAACAACAACGATGAAAAAAGATGGTCAGGCTGTGAAAAAGGGAATGCTTACACATTGTTGATAGGAATTCAGATCAGCTCAGCCACTGTGGAAAGCCATCATGTGGAGATTTCTCAGTGTGGAGGTTTCTCAAATAACTTAGAACTACCATTTGAGCCAGTAATTCCATTATCCAAAGGAAAATAATTCAAAAAAAGACACGTGCACTCATATGTTCATTGTCAAGCTATTCACAATAGCCAATGGAATCAACCCAGTTGTCCATCAATGGTAGATCAGATAAAGAAACTATAGTACATATACACTAACAAATACTGCATGGCCATAAAAAAAATTAAGTCATGTCCTTGTAGCAGTGTGCATGAAGCTGGAAGCCATAATTCTAAGTAAACTAACACAGAAACAGAAAACCAAATACTATATGTTCTAACTTAAAAATGGTACTAAACATTGAGCACACATGAACATGAATCTGGAAGCAGTAGACACTGTGGACTCATAGAAGGTTTGGGAGAGGTGGGTTAAAAAACTACCTCTCAGGTACTATGCTCACTATCAGGTGATGGAATCCATACAACAAACTTCAGCATCACACAATATTCCTATGTAATAAATCTACACATGTATTCACTCTGTCTAAAATAAAAGGTAAAAAACAAAACGAAAGAACAGTCACAATTTATAAATTTGGAAAAAAGAGAAAATGTAAGTATACATATTTCTGTATGCTCTTGACATATATAGATGTAGTCTAATCTATGAGGGACAGATAGTTCATCTCAACAGAGAGATTAGTTTTGGAATATTTTCTTAATACAAATTACCATATTTATTATGAAATAGGAAAACAAAATTGTAAATGAATAATCAAAGTACCTGATTTTGAAGTTTTAAAGTAGAAATTCTCATTTGTCTTCTTGGACTAGGCCTTTTGCATTGACTTGCTTGTTTTATCAGTTTTATAATTTGCATTAGTCCATTGTTCTCATGCTGCTATGAAGCAATACCTGAGATGGAGTAATTTATAAAGAAAAAAGGTTTAATTGACTCAAAGTTCCGCAGGGCTGGGAAGGCCTCAGGAAACTTACAATCATGGCAGAAAGGGAAGTAAACACCTTCTTCTTCACAAGGTGGCAGCAAGGAGAAGTGTCAAACAAAAGGAGAAAAAGTCCTTTATAAAACCATCAGACCTCATGAGAACTCACTCACTATCATGAGAACAGCATGCGGATAACGACCCCCATGATTCAATTACATCCCACTGGGTCCCTCCGATGACACAGGTGGATTATGGGAACTGCAATTCAAGGTGAGATTTGGGTGGGGACACAGAGCCAAACTGTATCATGAATGCAATGGGATTTCTGAGGCCAAGTACAGATATCTATAATATAAATTGCTTTTAAGGAAGAAGCTTCTAAATTTCTGCCAAATTTGAACATTTAGTATACCTAAAATAGGTCCCCTGATTTTAAGAATAGTGAAGAATATATAATACCAACAGAATAAATCATGCTATAGTATAGTAAGAATGAAAAATAAAGTAAAGAGAATGGCCGATTCTCTCAGGCTGCTCCTATTTACTAGGATATTACTGGGGAAAACCGGAGGTAAGAAACTGTATTAAAAGGAGATCGTCATTCACAGATATTGCAAATACCATGACACTCCAGGGCTTTTTCCCAGTCTGTGTATTCAGCGTCGGAGTCTGGGTAATAGTCGCTTTTTGTCAACTAAAGTCAGCAGGACTGGCTGCTGGCTGAGTTTGGAATTAATTATTTATCTCCTGCAGGTCCAGAACCACTGTAGTATATTCTCATTTTGGCCCAGAGGCATCACATCACAAGAGCGGCATCGTGTAGAAAGTGGTACAAAGACTCAAAATGACTCTTGGGAGAATCGCTGCAAACTGTACACAGTTGATTATTTCCTGGTCCTAAATTATAAGCTGTCTGGGTGCCAGAGTACTGTTCATGCATTGGAATTTGCTCATGAAAAGGTTGTTTGTTTTTGTTTTTATTCTGTTTGCTTCTAAGAGCCAAAGCCCATCAAGGAGTCAAAAAGACAGTTTATTGACTATAACAGGCAACAATCAAGATTGGACTGGCACCCTTGTTTTCTTCTCTCTGCCAAAATTGTCCATGGAGCCATTGCTGTCTCTTCCTATTGCTATCGCTGTCTCTTCCAGCCGAGCCACTGACATTTCAGATTCCTGTGTATCCTTGAGGTTATGAAACCTACAATGGAAGAATGTAAAATGTCTTGTTCTCATAAACAAGAAACACCTGGGATCACAGCACTCCCGGTATATTAGTCTCCTCTTCCTCTACAGAAATGCAAAATATACAAGCAGCACTATCATGGATATGAAACTTTCCTTCACTTTTTCCCTAGAAAATAAATTCATGGGTTTTATATATAGGAAGACACTTTTTAGAGAAGAATTTACCATCTGGACTTTTACAGATTTGTTATTTCGAATATTATATACAAGATCAAAATAAGTCAAAGCCTTTTTTAAAACGGGTAGCTCTAGCTGCCTTAGGGGATACCATGTGTACCAGTCACCTTGGGCTGCCATAACAGCTACTATAGACTGGACAGCTACACAACAGAAGTTGACTTCTCACAGTTCTGGAGTCCAGCCAGCGAGGGACAGTGCATTCCGCGTCTTCTCCTACCTTGTAGGAAGCCACCATTTCATTGTGTACTCACGTTGCCTCTTCTCGTGTGTTGCTAGAGCAAGATCGCTCTCTCCCTCTTCCTGTTCTTAAAAGGGCACCAGGGCTGGTCTCGGTGGCTCACACATGTAATCCCAGCACTTTGGGAGGATGAGGCGGGTGGACAAGGTCAGGAGTTCAAGACCAGCCTTCAAGACCAGCCTGACCAACATGGTGAAACCCCGTCTCTACTAAAAATTAAAAAATTAGCCAGGCGTGGTGGTGAGCACATGTAGTTCCAGCTACTTGGGAGGCTGAGGCAGGAGAATCGCTTAAACCCCGGACGCGGAGGCTGCAGTGAGCTGAGATCACACCACTGCACTCCATTCTGGGTGACAGAGCGAGATTCCGTCTAAAAAAAAAAAAAGGTACTAGTTGTATGGATTAGCGTCCTGTCATTATGACCTCATTTAGCCTCATTATTTACTAAAGGCCCTGTCTCCAAATACAGTTGTCCTGAGGGTTAGGGTCTCAGCATAGGAAGTGGAGGGTGGCACAATTTAGCCACATTATGACATCATAGAGGGGATCATAGTATTTGTGTGTTTGTTCCCTCCAAATCTCATGTGATCCTCAGTGCTGGAGGTGGGGTCTGATGGGCGGTGTTGGCTGGGGGGGTGGTGAATGCCTCATGAATGGCTTGGGGCCCTCCCCTTGGAAATGAGTCCTTGCTCTATTAGTTCACACTGGAGCTGGCCATTTAAAGGGTCTGGCCTCCCTCTTCTCTTTCTCTTCCTCCCTCTTTGCCCATGTGACAGGCCTGCTTCCCATTTGCCTCCCTTCATGATTGGAAGCTCTCTGAGGGCCTCACCTGAAGCACATGCTGGTGCTTGCTTCTTGTACAGCCTGCAGAACTGTGAGTCAAACACACCTCTTTTCTTTCTAAGTTATCCAGCCTTGGGTATTCCTTTAAAGCAACACAAATGGAGCAAGAGAGGAGGGGATTAGAAAAGAACAAAATGACTCGATAAGAGAGAGAATAAAGGCAACACTGGGCAAGAGACGATATCTACGTTCTGTTCCACTGCTTCGTAATTCCACTCGGTCACCTCTGAGTTTCCAGGAACCATTCCAATGGAATATTTTTCTTTTTCCTCCTTCTTCCTGGTTCACTTACTCTCTTGGAGAAGTTGACAGTGTGGCCGCTTTTTGTCTTGAGATTCCTTTCTCCCTTCTCATTCCCTTGGTTTCTCTTGCTGACTCTGCTCCTTCCTGCCTCTTCCATAGATTTATTTTCCCTAACCTCCTCTTAAATAGCTGCATTTCCTGGATTTGAGGACCAGACCTTCTTTTCTTTCTAACTCAGGCACCCTTGTTCCTGTCCATTCTTTCACCTACTGCTTTATAATGATGACGGAAACTGATGTTTGTATCTGGTGTTCTCGCCTGCACTCTAGGATTACATACAAACCCACCCTCTTAGACGTCACATCTGTTCTTCAGACTCAGGGCTTCTCCCGTGGGGTCAGGGTGTTCCCCTCTCTACAGCGAGATGCTTCTCCTGCTTTCTGAGACGCTGCTTCTGCTTTTCTTCTCTGATTTTTGGCCCGGTCACCTGCAGAGCAGGCCTGACGGCCATCTTACCTGCCACCTCTTTCACTCTTTTGTATGTTTGCTCCCAGTCATACTGCTAAGGCTTTTAAGTAGATCTGATACCCATTCCCATTTCTGCTCTCTCTGTCCACATGGACAGTGCTTTACTCCAGCCACCCTCGCTCCTCATGTGAACCATTAGTCATTCTCATTGCAGTCTCTCCAGCCGTGCCTTCTCCATCCGTCTTCCACAGGGCAGTAGAGTGATCTTTCCAAAACAGTTATTTGAAATTATTCCCTGCATTTCCAATTTCACTGACTGCCACAGTCTACAATACATGATTTGAATTTCATACTACGGCGCACATATGTAGCAGCAACCATGAAAAAAAAAAATCATGCCATCTGTTCTTGAAAGGTCAGATTTTGCTGTCTCATGTTTCTTTGCTTTTCCCTTTTAAAATAGAACTTCTATTTATTCTTTAATCTCACCTCAAGCTGTATTTTTTAGAAAAGGATTCTACCAGGCACACTTAGCAGACCCCTTCCACAGGCTGTGTTAGCTGCAGATGTGCCTTATGTTTCCCACACAGTGCTTGTCAGGCCGTGCTCCCTGGTTTGCTGGCACACTCATAGGCTACCTGGACCCAGGGAAAATCTCATCATTGGTCCTGCTACTTAGCACCTAGTCTTGGTTTAATAGATATGTAGCAAATGTAATAATTAATGAAATGCATTATCAAATATACAGCAAATTTGCTATTAAATGTATAGAAGTATGTTCATAAATGTTATTACATGTACACTAAAAAAGGTATTAAAAAATTTGCTTCAAAAATGAGCTTTCAAGGATGACTTATGTATTTTGAACAGAGATGTGGAGAAATAAAGTTTTTTCAGATAGAGAAAGTAGCACCAGCACTGGCACAGGGGATGTTCAAATTGAGTGAGTTATTTGATGGGAGAATTTAGGGGAGAAGCTGGGGGAAGTAAACGTGAAGAAAACCATATTGTGGAGGGCCTTGAATATGTTGTATTTTCTTTGATTAGAAACAAAACAAAACAAAACTTCAGCATAGACTGTGTGTTATAGAAAGATCTTAGCTGTATTCTACCCCCAAGAGGCATTATATACTATTTGAAGTATGAGGAAACATCCAGGAATACCAGGTGGTTACTTTGCAGGTAAAGGACGCTAATGAGGATTCCTCCCTCCAAAGAGAGTAATTACAAATAGTACTGTTATCTTTCGTCTTGATCAGAGCTACTCATTTCTTCTTATGTGACATAAAGAAAGCTAGAAATATTTTATCATTGGTGGAATGTGTCTCCTTAGAGATATGTGAATGGACTTGGGAAAATGTAAAACACCGCCCTCCTTGCACAGACAAGGCAAGCGTGGTTAGCAAGCTCGGAAACCTCTGCTCCTCTGAGTACAGCCGTGGCTTAGGGCTCCATTCCACTCTGCCTTTCTGTCACCTGAGTCCACTGAGGAAGTCACCTGAGACCGCCTGAGACCGCCTGGCCATGTTCCACCTTTCTGGAACTGGAATATTCTTCCACATAAGCTCATATTCAAGGTAAGGGTTGGAGGGCTAAAAGAAAAGAAAGATTTGTGATATCATTGATCAAATAATGCCAGATATTGTGTGTGACAGGTTGTGTGTGCGTGCACGTGTGCTTGGCACAATTAGGTCTGAGACTTGATTTTATTCCACCTCGTCATGGTAGATGTCTATTGGAAACTGATTTTCTACCCCCCAAAACACTAATAAATGTGAAAAGCCAAAGTGACTTAGGTCAGCCCACAGCATAGGTTAATAACTTGATATTTAATTGGTTAGGAAAAGGGAAATCATTGATGTTCTTGAGTGGCCAGTGGTTAGTACATGATGCTTTTGAGCCAACAAAAAGAATTCTTCTCTGATAGGAAATTAGCTTCAATTCCTGCTAAACTGAAGGTTTTTCTTTTATGTATGTATGTGTATGTATAAGTAAATGAGCTTTTCTGTATGTCTATGTAAATCCAGACTCTATAAATTGGTATTGATGGATTATCCCAAATCCTCAACCATTTCTGCTACTTCTAAGAAAAATCATAATAAGCAAATCTCATACTAGTATCTTACGTGTTACCACTGGGTTTTTACTTTGATACGGTTGCCAGCGTGCAATCAGTATTTCGCAACTAAATGTTGATTGGCGTTTGTGTGTGTTTGTGTCAGGCTTTAACATTTAGGTGATTTTAAGCCATAATTTTTCAAACTGTTGGAATGAAAAAATCTTTGGATGTTCTTGCACCATCCCTGTTGCTTTCTGCATTGGTGTTGGTGTCTGTGCTGCTCCAAGTACATTTAATTGTAGGGCAAGAGCATTGGACAGCAGTTAACTTGTTAGTTTTTTTCTAAAAACCTTGGAGACTTTCCCAAAAGTTCTGCTCCAGGAGAGATCTGGCAGTGTTCGCCTGAGATGAGTCCTTTCTTTCTGCCACCTTCCCAGGACAGGGCAGGAAAGTTGGACACTTTCCACCAAACACATGAAAAATGAAGACAAGAATCTCTTCTCCAGATACCTTTATTTCTTGCTATGGTTTTGACAAGTTCAATGAGGACTAAATTTCTCTGTTGTATAGGAATGAAGATACAGGCATGAATATACCTCATGAAATGATTAAAATTCAATTAAAGTTAAAAGATAGCCTTACATTTTGTCAAAGCTATATGACAATTTGAAATTCATTTTCATACTTTCTATTAAGCCTCAGATGCAGCAGGCAGAGTTTTACCTTTAATAACATCAGGCTATGTTATAATGTTATACATTTGTCTTAAATGTATCTACCGGGTAGGAAGAAAAAAGTGTTTGGGAAAGATGTTAATTTCCTGGTCTCTGACAAGCTGTTGGCCAAATGACTTTCCTGTGACAATAAATAGGTTTTGCTTGACATACTTATTTATATACTATTTAATACACCTTGTATTGAAAGGAGATGAATAATAACTTGACTCAATGCCAGATTACCTTACTCCATACAATCAGAAGCTAAATTCAAGACCTCTAATACCAAATGACACTAATCTGTTCCAAATTCTCTGTGACTGCCTTCCTTTTTTAGGAAGAAACTTTAGGAAAAGGGATACTGTTCTTGTTTTCTCTTATGAATAGAGAATAGTAAATATAATAAAATTCACTGAATAGTATAGCTTTTTCACTTTCACAAATTTACAAATAATAAATTTATCAGAATATAATGATGGAATTTTTTTAATATCTCCCGATATCCTATTTGGGGGAGTTATTTAAGGTTTTTAATCTTTTAGAATTCATTCTGCAGGTATAGTTAAAGACTAGCATCTGAATATTAAAAATTTACATTGTTAGGCTGGGCACAATGGTTCAAGCCTGTAATCCTAGCACTTTGGGAGGCTCAGGCAGATGGATCACTTGAGCTCAGGAGTTTCAGACCAGCCTGGACAACACAGGGAGACCCCATCTCTACCAAAAATACAAAAATTAGCTTGGGCATGGTGGCATGCACCTATAATCCCAGCTACTCAACTGGCTGAGGCACAAGAATTACTCAAATCCAGGAAGCAGAGGTTGGAGGGAGCCAAGACCATGCACTGCACTCCAGCCTGGGCAGCAGAGCAAGACTCTGTCTCAAAAAAAAAAAAATATATATATATATATGTATATATATATATATATATATATAAAATTAATGATTTATTTTTTTCAGAAATGTATCTTCTTGTATATAACAGGGATTGCTTTTGTAATTCAAAGCCAAATGATCTGAATAGATACTTAAATGTATCTTAATTAGGGGCTTTGTGAAGGTAAATTTTAGACTTTGGTGACAATTTTAGAATCAACTAAATTATAAACTCTCTAATAGCCTAAGAATCGCACATCAGCAGTAATATTAACTCTCCAACAGCCTAAGAATCGCACGTCAGCACTATGCTTTACAAGTGATTGAATTCAATAAACATCTATACAAGCCTGACTTTTTGGTGCACATAGTAAAGAAAAGGGTTCTGGACTGCAATTGCTAGCAAAACTCTGGGTGATGAACAGCGTATATGGTGCCCAAAGCAGCCCCTGTATCCACCACCTGGGTTTCATTCTAGTCAGACTCTGGATAGAAGGTAAAAGATTAAACAGGGGACCCACATGGGCAAACTGAGACCTTAGCAGTAAGTTAAATATAGATAATAAAACCTCTACAACCACCACCCTTCCGCTTTATCAATAAATTTATTTTGGCAAAACAAACAAATTAAGACTAAGACTAATTAGTACTTTATGGTATAATTATATTTTAATATTCCCGGTCTACTCCAAGGCAAAGCTGTGAAAGGAATGAGACACATCCCCCATATATCTCCCAACTTCCTGAGCCCAGCACAAACACATTCCTCCATATTTCTTTCAAACTTCAGAAAAACACCACCTGGGAAATCTCCGATAAGGACGCAGCGGGAACCAATAAAAAATGCTAAATGTATAATATTAACCAGTTGTAATGCTGTAACCGAGAGAATTACCTTGTTCCCCTGTAACTTTACATATCCTGTTTACATGGGGCTATAAAAAGCAAGCACTCACATTGTTCGGGGCCCTCTTGTATGCTGTGGAATGGAGGGACCAAGTTCGAACTTGTAGTAAAGATCCTTGCCGCTTGGCTTTGACTCTGGACTCTGGTGGTCTTCTTGGGGGAACAAACGGTCTAGGCATAACAGCTGAGGCACAAAATATAATTTCAAGAGTTGACTTGAGCCAAAGTGAGCACAGCTTCCCAGAAGACTCAGACCCAGGTCACCTTGGATATGAGCTCTGTGTGGCCTCTGTTACAGGCAGGCTTTTAAAAACAAAAAGGCGGGCAAGGAATGGGCTGACACGAAGTTGCTTGTCAGGAATTCTCATTGGTTTACAGAAATAGCAATGGTTGGTGCCTGGCTCTTTGTTGTAGGGATTAGGGACCAGGTGTGTGGCATTGTTAGGTTAATTGTAACTACTTGTGAAACAGCAAGCAGTTTCAAGAGCTGATTCCCTAGCGCAAAGAAAGAAGGGGGATGGGACCCCAGTCTTACTCCCTGTTTCTCTGCACCTCATCATTTCTGCAGATACGAAGTTTCCTTTCTTTCTCTTCCTTGAGAGATGGGTAATCAAAGGAACCCTCAATTGTAACATTAGGGAAAGGGAAAAAGTAGAACTAGCCACGTGCCTCTCAGGAGAAACTTAGGTTTTGCTAGGGTAGTACCACTCCTGTGTTTGAAAGTTGGGTGTGAAAATTTACAAGGCAGCATGCATTTCACAGGCAGCCCACACATGTCTGTGGTCTCCTTCGCATCCTCTTCAAGAATTTCTCCAAATTCTCGCCTAATTCAAATAATCAACAATGGGGTTATTTTCACTGGTATGTCAGGTTAATGTAGACAAGTCCCATCATTACTTCCTTTGTGACAGTTTGTATCAGCACAAAAATATTCATTCATTTTTTTTGTTTTGTTTTGTTTTTGTTTTGGAGTGTGCGTGTATGAAATTTGGGTAAATGGTAAGGAAACCTTTCTTAAAATTAAAATTAACTCAAGAAAGTATAGCATTAGAAATTCTGGAAAGCAATATGATTATGAATTGATTTCAGGAGTCCCAACTTTATGACCTTGATATCAATTCTCATTAATAGAAAATAGAATTCATAGATAACCTGGGCAGAATGCAGCATTCTAAAATACACTTTTAATCCAAAAACTGTGGCTCATTTGCCATGGGTGGGTTCATTGAGCTTTTGCATTTTTCTCTTGCCACTTAATGGCACTGCAGAGTCCTGGAAGTTGCCTGGTATCAGAGTTGCGAGCTGTCGACATAAGTAAAAGTAGATATGAAACCTGATAACTTTGGTGAATTATGGAAACTCTTTCCTAACTGCAATTATGTAGTCAGCAAAGCACTCCCGGCATTGATTCAAAAGGTCCAGTCTAGACTATTAGAGGCCCTCTGTCCTGAGGGGGAACTCCTATGCTAGCAGGTAGGCTTCTGAGCTCGCATTCATCCAGAGTGACAAGGTCTTCATCTTGAATTTTTCCCAGGGCATCTCCATGTCAGCCGACACAGACACAAAAGAAGATCCATCCTTACAGAAATCAAAGTAATTATGACTGGCTGCTTCTGCATTGCAGTGCCTTAGATCAACATTTTGCTGTGTTCATTACTGACAAGTACAGACCTTAAACTATGAGAATTCAAATTGTGGGATAGACCCAGAAAAAGCTTCCTTCCTAATAGCATTGCTGTTACATGCAACACCAAATGCAGAATTCTAAAAAAGAAGCTATAAACACAGGATGTACATGCACAATATTGACACTCCTCTTTGCTTTGTATGACAGTGTCTTTTGTTACTGCATTAAAGCAACGGTGAGACAGTTTTTTCCCCAAATGTCTCTGTGTATTTACTTGTACATTGTAAACATTCTTAACTTTGAGTATCTCTTTCAACATGAAGGTATGTGTACATTTTAAACCTCTACCAATACTTTCATTCCATAATTAACCTCAGGGCTGACTGATCAGCCTGAAGTTAACTTGAAGCTGTGTGAGGTATTTGAAATCGTTCGGCTCTCAGTTTTGCCAGCCATTAGTAACACAAGACTGTGGTTTGCAATCTTCACCCACACGTATTCCACCCCTTCTGTACAACAGTGTAGACATTGCACTCAAGTTGTTTATGCCTTTATTTGTTTGATAAGGAAATTTGTTATTTTTCAGGCATTTGCAGCAAACTGTTTAATAGGAAATGGGGAAACATTTATAAAAATACTATAGCATCATAGGAACTTTTTGTATTTTATTTTAAAAGAGACTTTATTTCTCTTACGGCTTACATGTGATTGTGTTAACAGGTCAAACACAAAGGTAGATAAGTTTCATCTAGGTATTTTTAAGGGAAATAGTTAACAAACTTTTTCCATTTTTGTATCTATATGCATAATGTATTTGATTTCTCCAATGATTCCAAACAATGCCACAATATGTTTTACAAATTTCTTTCTTTTAAAGGGCAAAGAAATTCATTTGTATTCTTGCAGTTCTTGAATGACCCTCACAAAACTAGTTTCAAGTTTCTAAAGGGTAGTTATAAATAATAAAAGAAAAGGAATAATTTTTTCATGCTATGGGAAAATATGTTGAAAGTAACCTTTTTAGTTTTGTAGAACATGAAAGTCAATGCTTGGTTATATTTTTTTCCAGCAAAGTGTTCTTGCTACTTGTTTGCTACACAGGATTTTTCCTACAGTTTTTATTTTATTTTGGCAACTAGTTCTTTGGGTGCTACCCATTCAAACTGTGAAAAGAATATGCTTCTTGATAGCAACTTTTTTGTTGAGCTGGCTTTAACACCTTTAAATGTTCAAAACTATTATTTGTTTCCACACATGATAGGACTAAAACATGCCACAATTCCTAGAGCAATACACAAATGAGTAATAAGATGATGTAGAATCAAATGCCTATTGATGCAATTCATATTTCTTAGAGTATTGAGTCATAAATTGCTATTTTTAATAAAAATATATATAACATATTTAAGTTATATTCTAAAACAAGTTACAGTACCAGTGATACTTGGAAAGAAATACATCAAGTAATTATATTATTTAATATACTAATAGAACAATGCAGCATTTTAATATTTATTGCATTGTATTTTCATTGCTTTCCACAATCTCCCTTGTATTATCCATCTCAGGGAAATTGTGCACACTATATGCCAAATTAGGTGGTATAAATCTTCTAGCCACGGGACCAATAAATGGAATTATTAGTCATCCATTTAGAACATATAAATAACTGAAATACTTCAGTTAAAGGATGAAATACTATTCTATTGTTTATAGCTAAGAATAAGATAAGAAAACTGACATCTATTTCTTATTCACCTGACCTCAGTATTTCTGAGTGTAGAGCTGGATGTGATGCCAAATACTGAGGTCAGGTTAATATTTTAGAAACAGGGTCAAGCCATTTAGGGCCAAACCTAAAGCCAGGGCTGAGCCATTTCGGTTTCATCTCAAGCTCTGCGGAAGTGACGCCACATCAACCCAGACGCTTCTTCCGGTTTTCACGGCGAGACTTCCAGCATGTTCCCAGCTAAGACGCGCTGCTGGACTTGGCCCATGGTAGCTCTTACTCAGGTTTCCTATTGGGACGTGTGATGGAAAAGTCAGAGACTTATCGGGAAACACGAAGGCACCTAACTGCCAAGACTTCCCCAAACATCATTTTCTGTCAACTTCACAAAGGCCAGGGAAGACCACTGAAGCCATGTCCATGTGTTTCTAATGGGAAAACGAGTCTCAGTGTTGCAATTTCCTAGACTTAGAGATTTTTTATTATTTATTTATTTATTTTTGAGACGGAGTCTCGCTCTGTGGCCCAGGCTGGAGTGAGCGGCGCCATCTTGGCTCCCTGCAAGCTCCGCCCCCCGGGTTCCCGCCATTCTCCTGCCTCAGCCTCCCGAGGAGCTGGGACCACAGGCGCCGCCACCTCGCCCGGCTAATTTTTTGTATATTTAGTAGAGACGGCGTTTCACTGTGTTAGCCAGGATGGTCTCGATCTCCTGACCTCGTGATCTGCCCGCCTCGGCCTCCCAAAGTGCTGGGATTACAGGCGTGAGGACTTAGAGATTTTTAATTAAAGAACTCAATTTACTCACAGTTAATGTAATAATGAGTAGAAAAGAAATGAGGGTAGGCAGAACAATCCCATTTTTGAGTGGTTTATGTGGTTTCTTTGGAAAAAGAATAAAAGAAGGAGACAAATTACCAAGAAAAGCATGACCAAGCAGGGAAGCCTTTAGAGAATCAACCAGAAATGAGAATTAGAAATCAGAATTAGAGAGTTTCAGTAATTTGCCCAGAACCACCCTGAGAGTTGGTAAAAGGGCAAATGTTTGAACCATTGTACTTCCTCTGTGAAGTGGAAACCAGAAAAACTGCCCATTGTCCCAAAGACACAATGGAATCCACACAGAACTGGGATTCCAATGGAATCCATGCAATACTGAGATTCTAAGCACATGCCAAGAAGTGATCCAAAGACACAACAGAATCCACATAAAACTGGAATTCCAAGTAATCCACACAGAACTGGGATTCCAAGCACACACCAAGAAGTGATGCAGTCCAATTTCATACGATATGGACGGGAGAGAATTCCTAACAGGAGGTCATCAGCATAAAAACAAGAGGCCTGTACTCCAAAAGTGAACTTCTGAAGCGATTTGAAATATCAAAGAGAAGGGAAAAAATATAAAATAAGAACAAGACTTTCTTAAAAAATATGATGTCCTGCTTTAAAAAAATCAGATATTTTACACATTATATAAATTGAATGAAGTATTAGTGGGTTTAGTAAATTAGCGGGCTTAATGAACTGAGATGTAAACAAGAGGAAATGACTGAATATAGAGACCAGTGAGGAAAAGAGATAGAAAATATGAAAGAGAATTTGAAAAGTGGAGGAGAGAAGCCAAAGCTCCAGTCATTATCTATTCGAAGCTCAAAGCAGGGAATTGAGACAATGGTTAAGATGCAATCTTCTAAATAAATTTGTTGAGAGTCTCCTGGAATTAAAGGAAGATGTGAGTGCTCAGGCCGAAGATTTATACTAAGTTTCAAGCAGCATGAATAAAAACAAATTCCCACATACACTGCGGTACAGAGTTGAACCATCCAAAACAAAGAAACACTGCAGATGACTTGCAAAGGAACAAGACAACAGATTTTTCTTTGGCATTGGTAAATGTCAGTGCAATCATTGTAAGGAAAAACAAAGGCAACTTCAGATATAAAAGACTGAGTTTACTGCTGACAGAGGCTTGCTGAAAATTCTCCCCAAAGATGTGCTTCAACAATGAAAAACCCAGAAGAAGAAATAAATACAAAGTAATTGTATACATAGAGGTTGGTAAAAGTTGTTACATTTAGATTGGTATTGATTGGAACTGAAAAGAAACCTTAAGATAATTTTGGGGAAACTTTTAGAAAAATGAATATTAAATTCTACATCTCAAAAATATGGAAGATGAGAAGAGTATAGAGTTGTATTGTTTGGGAAGATGACAAAGATATTGAGCCACTTTAATCTTTCCAAAGATAAGCATGCATGTTGACCATTTCAGGGTAAATATAAAAGTATACTGCTTTAATTTCAAACCGGAGAAAGCCAATATGGGAATTAAGAATTAAGGAAATGAAATCTATACAACAGTGGGCAGAGGAAGGAGAAATAGAAAACAAAGTAAAAATATGACAAATTAGAACCCACAAAACCAGGTCATAGAAACTACATTATTTTACAATATTAGTAAAAAAGAAAATAAATCAATGTCTTATTTTAAGACAGAAACTTTCAGCATAAATAACAATAAACCAGCTTCGTGAACAGTATGAGGAACCTATATTTTATCAATAAGAGGACAGTATAAAAAATTGTAGTTCATTATTTGTAAGAAAAAGTAGTATATGGTATTGGGACTCAGAAAACAATAACCCAAAATGAAGGCCCCCGAAGCAAATGTTTTTCCCTGACTGTCTCCTGCCCACCTATCTCAGTCTCATTCTCTCCTGAGGCCAGCCATAGAAACTAGAATCCCTCTTCCCCAAAGCAGGTTATAGAAACCAGAACCCCTTTTGCCCTAAGCCAGCCATAAAACCTAAAATATTGTTCCAGCTTTGCCCCCTCAAGTCCATGCAACACTGGCAGCAAAGACACCCTCTGACCTACCTTGTTTGACTGTAGGTCATGAGACCCGGTGCAGAGAGGGCCCCGCCCCACACCGGGAGGGAAGGATGCTGCTCAGAGGCCAAACGGAACGTGAGTGGCAGGCCTTGCTGGGTGTCCCCACTCAGTGACTCAGCATTAGATCACACCCGTTTTGTTTAATCACATTTCCACACAGCTGTCCATATGTTGTTGAACCTGAGCATAAAAAAGGGGAATTTCCCCTGCATCTCTGGGTCTTCAGTCTGAAGGCTCCGCTATGATCAAATAAATGTTTTTCTCCTGTTAGTCTCCTTTCATGAGTTGATTTTTCAGCAAACCTTCAGAGGGTAAAGAGCAGCTTTCCCCTGGCCTCGACAACAGGACGGCCTGGGTCTGTGACATCCACATAGACAGGCCCTGGAAGCAAGTTAGAGAAAAAGGTGAGATGAGAATGGCACACATGACATGCCTCCTCGGTGAATAAAATCCCGACTCCCGAAAGCAGCCTGTGTGGCCTGCATCAGGGATTCTCTGCTGTCTCCAACTCTGCAAACATCTTCTCTTGCCCATCTCCCCCTCAATCAGTCTGAGCTGTTTCCAACTGACTTTCTTCTAGCAGCCTGCCCCTGTGTTTTCAGAGCAGGAACTGACTTTCTTCTAGCAACCTGCCCCTGTGTTTTCAGAGCAGGGCCTTGCACTCTGCCTCAAGTGCTCTTCCTCCAGGTCTACACACAATTTGCTTTGGAACTTTCTGAGATCTCTGCTCACAATCACCTTTTTGAAGAGGTTCTACTCACCACTGTCTCCAAAATGTCACCCTCTGTTGTGCTCTGTCTCCTCATCCCTTCCCATGGCCTTTAATTACTTGTTTACTATGTCCATCCTTCCCACATCAGTCTTTTTCATTCACATGCAGGCTTCTTGGGGACAGAGCCTGCCACTGACCAGTGCTCAATGAATTCTATCCATTGGATGAATGAATACATATGATGTTTTATTATGTGTTAATAACCATAGGTTTAATCTTGTTTGCAAATGCGGACATATGTAAGGAAGAGTGAGAAGAAAAAAAGCAAAATTTATTTCCCTGTTCCTCCCATCACAGGGTCTCTCTAATGACAGAGGATATGGAACCCTCCACAGAGTCATGAAGGTTTCTGAGCCATCCAAGGCTAGACGGCCTCTGAAATGGCCTTCGAAAAAATTATGTCCATGAGAAAATTAAGGCAGTAGGGGAGGTCTGATCTTGCCAGTGCCTCTTTTTGCCTCTAGCTTTCAAGTTGCCTTAATTATTCCTGGGCTTGGGCCTAGGTACATTTGGAAGACATTTAGGTTATAGTTTAAGTGATAACAGCCCTTCCTCAGAACTCAACCATCTTTGTAAAGCTAATGAGAGACCGCTGGGCTAGGGGGAGAAAAAGAGCTTAAATTCTGCTAAGGTATAGACTGGTCACAAGATAAACAACTCCCCCAATTATTCCTGCAGATAATATCTCTATAGTAGACTGGACTTTTGAAATCGCTTTTTAGGTTTTTTGCATCTCTGACACTGATGGCTGCACCTGGACCTGCCAAACCACCTGTATAGCACCCACCACTCAGGAGCAATTCTGCTCACGAGACAGCTTCAACCACTTATGAGTTCATCTCCATCCCAACCAATCAGCAGCAAACACCCATTTCCTAGCCACTGCTGCACCTTCTCCTAAACTGCCTTTGAAAAACCCTGAACCTATGAGAGCCTTCAAAGAGATTGATTTAATAACTCCATGTCCCACATGGCCTGGCATCAATTAAACTCTTTCTTCACTGTAATAACGTGGTCTGTATTTGTGCAGCAAGCAGGAAAAACCCATTGGGCGGTTAAACCTCTTTCCCTCATAATAACAGAAACCCCTCCTTTGGATTGGCAGGACACACCTGTTAGCCTGAGATAACACTCCTAGTTGTCCATAGTGTGGGTAGAATGTGTGGGGTTCCATGTGCCCTGGTGATCAAAGCAGGGGTGCTGAGAGGACAGTGAGCCCTCAGGGTAGGACCAGGAGCCTGTGGAATAGAGGAACGTGGGAGCCAGAGGCAGAGGCCAGACAGGATCAGTGGCACATCACCACAGCCCAATCTACCGAGAAGAGCAGCCTCTGCGGCTCAGGTCACCAACGACCACAGACCCTAAGGCAGATTGTATTATCCGAAAGTGGCCGCAGGGATATTTCCCATTCCACACGCTCTTGCAAAGGGATCTTGACAATATTTGCCCTGAGCATTCTGAATTATGTTCCCTTCCTTGGAATATGAGTGAGCTTGTAACTTGCCTGCAATCTGGACAGTGCAGCAGAAGTAACTTGTGTGCTTCCCTAGGCTGGGTCCAGAAAGGTGATGACCATGGGGATACTTGCTTTTGAAGAGCTTGGTTTTCACGGAAACAGATTTCTGCCTTCACGCAGCCTCCCCATTAGCTGGGGAGGAAGCCCTAACTAACCCAGGGATCACATAGAGGTGCCTGGGTACCTGGCCAGGACGTAGCCTTGCCTTTCCTGTGGTCTCAGCTTCAGCCACAACCTGTGGGCAATTCATTGGGAAACCACAAGCCAGAGGAGCTCCTCCAACTTCAAAGCACAGAAGCTATGAGACACAACACAGTCGCTGTTCCTTTACTCACCACATTTTAGAGTGACTTGTTATGCAGCATTAATGACTGGAATAGGCTCCCTTGGGCATAGTTACGGGGGAGGGTAGGCACCTGGTAGACCCACACACCACCAGAGGGAGAAAAAAGAGGAAGAGGAAATTAGAAAAAAAAAATCATTTATTAAAAAGAGAGTTCTTTAATAAAAATATATTTATTCTAAAGAGATAGAATAACAGAATGTTTAAGCCAGAGGAATTTGAGACATGTATAAAACTGGCATTTAAAATAGTTCTTACTCCAGTACTTGTTGTGGTAAGATACCTTTGGGAAGATCAGACTCAGAAAAAGTAGAAAGCTAGTGTAAAATTACACATAAAATGTTAAATATGATCATATAAATAGAAAATGTCTAGCATAGAAAAAGGCACATAGTGGATATTAAATTAAAGAGTTAATATTATTACCATTGGCACTGTTACTACTATGGTAAACAGCTGTTCACCTCCTGATGACCTCCTGATGGCCTCCTGATGACCTCCTGATGACCTCCTGATGACAGCCACATATACATGGATAAGGCAAATGCTAATCTGGAATCCATTTACAATAAAATTTAAAAACTAAGGGAATGTTCATTCTCTATGTCCACTTGAATAAAAGAATTAGTATCTATTTACAAAAAGAAACATACTTGCAATCCTCAAAACTCTAAATAAATAAACCCACTAGGTAATTAATTATTACTAGAAAGAGGAATCATGGAAAAACTCATGCATTTTGGTGTAACAATTGCATACTGATTACTAGAATTGCTTGTAGTCTCTTACATTTCAACAACGTTTCAAAGCAGTCAGTGAACCTATACTCTGAAGTTGATGAGGCAAAATGCTTCTTTATGAGAAGTAACGTGATTTTGATAATAACATCTTTAAAGTCTTAACCGACACCATCGTGCCCACTGAGCTGAAGGAAATACTGAATTATAGAACTTTTTTTAAATACCATCAAAGGTACTTTTCTTAACCTATGAGAATACCGATCCTCATCTTTGATCGGCAGTGCATACTCGTGGTCAAGTTTATTATCTGGGAAAGTTCTTATTGCAGTGCCTTGTCACGGCGAATTTGAGTTATTAATCACATGATTTGACATCAAATGTATCTCACTGATGATGTCTCTTAATAGGATTAAGTTATACTTCTAAATTTTTACACCAAAATATTCAAATTGTCAATTTATGAAGTGAGATATAATATTGTTATCACAAATGTATGTACATTATTTTAGCCTGAGTATTTAAGCTATCTCCCTTCTATAATATAGTTTTGAAGGATGCTGCGTGAAAGGAGAAGAGTCATATGACTTTTGATGATCACTCTGTCTTGCATACACTGTTTTAAAATGCATACTAAACATTTACTGAATGCCTGCCATTTGTACAATGCTACCCTAATAGAAACTTATTGTATATACACATGTTGCGTGTGTGTGTGTGTGTGTGCATGTGTGGCAGGGGTAAGGTGACAGAAAACCCAAAGAATGATAAAAAGTAGAAAGGATTCATGAGGAAGGGAATGTGAGTGAAGATACGACAATCTTTGGCAAAGCATGGGATTAACCTATCATGAGAATCCAAACTGTCCAATTAAAGTGAAAACATCAAATAATTTTAAATATTAGAACGGTCATGGCTCTACTCGTGTCTGGGAGTAAGACTGAGAGCTGTTAAAGAAAATGTTTTTAAATCCTGTGCTGTTAACTTAATTAATGGAAGATACTCAAGACGGCAACCAATTTATTTTAGAAAATAAGCCAACATAAGTGGACACATCAGTGAACGATGATAAAATGCTGTCTAGTAGCTACACCTTTCCTCACTGTGAATAAACTGTGCAGACTGAGAGGCTCCTTGGAAGGCCCAAGGTAATAGCTGACTTTGCACATGATCTGTGGACTCGTTGATGCTGAAAGTCAAGCCTGCTGTGGACATACTGTTCTAAGACTGCTGGAGGGAACCTCACGTTCACCACAATACATTTATCGATCAGCTGGATGCCTTCATTCATTACTTCGTTTATATTTCTCTAGCTATAGAATCACGCAGTAAATAAATGGAGTAAGGCAGTAAGATGCAGTGCAACCAGCAGGGACTGGTTAAATCATTCATTCTTCTCAATGAGAATGTGTCTCATATACCAGGCTCTGGAAGGACAGTTGATAACTAGCTGGCTGAGATCTAAGAGAGGAGGCTGACACATGGACACACATGGGGAATCTTGGGATGAGAGCTACACAAGAAACGCTCCTGCAGAGAACAGGGGGAGCCCAGTAGATGGAGAGACCTACATTTTTGTGGGCTCTAGAAAGACTTCAGGAAATGATACCACTACGAAGGGCTTGGGGTAAAGAGACAGTATGATAAAACCACAGAGGCACAAGAACACATTGTCACAGTGGAAGATCCTTTAAAAAAACTAATTTCAGGCAATTGAATATGTTAATCAAAATAAGGCAATTTTGTTGCTTTATGATGTTATTTTTTAAAGGAAATATTTTGGTCTTAATTAAAATTTTCAGTGTGCTGTGAGCCATTTCCCCTCTTATAGTAATGTGAAGACGTTTGTTTGAACTATTATCACAGTCACAGAAGACAAGGTGATTCCATGCATGTAAACCATACTAGTTTTTCAGATAGATCTCTTTTTTTTTTTAGTGTTTCTCTCCTCTTTTGAGTTCATATTTTTCAAAAGCAGAAATATGCAGAGCTGATTAATGATTTTTCTTCTTTTATTATTTACACTAATCTCTTCCCCATTGCCTATCAGAAAAATTACAAATAATTATTATGAAAGTATTTAATGGCAAATAATTTAGATAAATGAAAACTTGCTGATATTATCATCAATTCAATGTATCATCTTAGGGCAGTTATCCCCAACCAGATCTACTCTCACTGATTTGAGAAGACAGAGAGAAGCTGGACTGAGTCATCATCACTGACTTGGAGGAAAGGAGAGAAACGAGTACAAGGAGCTCTTATTGTCATCAACCCACAGAATGACCTTGGGTTTACGGCCTCACCAGGCATCACATTAACCACAGGTAATGCAAGAAGAAACAGCAGTCCCAACCCTCACCACATATTTCATGGAGATGAAGGGAGAGTTAATGAGAAAATGTTAGTAAAACATTTTAAGCTCCTTTGTAGGAAGACACTATATAAATACAGAGCAATAGTATCAGTCATTTTAATGGGTTGGAGATTTTTACTGCTTGAGAAAGATATCTTGTTTGAGTTATGCTGGTCTTGCATTGCTGTATATCCTTTGCTTTATAACATAGCACAGGTGTGTTAAACTTCTGGATTTCTATTATCTCTGCATATTGGGGATGTGGCTTTCTCAACCAGCAGCTCTGCACTTAAAGTTCCAAAGGGAAGGTTCGATACTGAATGGCTTTTGGATTCCATGGTGATGGGCCGTGTGCTGAGAGATGTATTATTTATTGTCACTATGCATGAAAGAAAATCACAATAAAAAAGGCAAATGCTGACTAGAGAATAGAACCCGTCAGCCAGGTCGGTGGCTGCAGAAATCCCAGGGCAAGCATTCTTACTGCAATAACTCTGCGGTCCCACTCCCCTTACTCTCTCAAGCAATAAAAGGCCAAGAAATCATTAGAGGTTCAACCAAGGAGCCAGGCTTTCCAGGATGACAATGCACTGCTCACTTCACATAACTGTAAAGAGTTATGCTGGAACTCTGAATAGGAAGGCAGCGTGATGCATTTCTTGAGCAACCAGATTTTAGCAATGTGTTTCAAACAGTGCAATTTCAGAACATAGTTTGTGTGAATATGTCCAGAGGGGCACCGCTCACCTTTTCTCTGGCAAATAGACCCATGTGGGCAGTGCTGCTGGAAAAAAGTTTTGAAGTAAGAACCAGTTTTATTTTACATCTGCTGCGACACACATTAGTAATAAGCACTGGTCCTTGCAAATCTCCGTTTGAATCACATTGGAAACATAACAATCAGTGTGAGAACTGGCCTCATGTTTCCTCTGCCTTTCAGGTTTCTCGGGATATGGCACCGACTTCCCTCATGTTGTTATTGGTCATGTTTCTCTATCACTTGGCTCACTTCTCTGTTTTTCCCCTTTCACCTCCTTCTGCCTTCCAGGCTGACTTACAGTGTCCACCCCAACCACCATCACCCCTGCCTCACTCGGCTTTGCTCTTCCTGACTCAGGGAAAATTCTGCTTCAGTTCACCTTCTCTCCAGATTCCCAGACCACAGCATCTCTCAAAACTGCTCCGTCTCTGAAACTGGAAATGCTGACATTATTTTCCTATCCCTCTCTTCCCTTATCTCTTTCCTGTCCCTCAGCCCTTCTCCCCTCCTATGCCTTAGGCTTCTGTTACCATGGCGTTTCTTCACTTCATTCTGACCTGTTCTCATAGTCCTGGGCCCTCCCACGACTTAAAGTCCCTTCCCGCCTAGCCTGGACCTCGCAATCTGGTAAGAGTGCTCTCACCAGTGCCCGCCATTTTCCTGTGTCTCTGTCTTTCCACTGCCAAGACTTAATCTGTTTAAAAATGGGGTCAACTCCTGGGTCTCCGGGTTCTTGTTTCCTCTTAGAAAATATCGCATAGCAGTGGTGATGGCACCAAGACACTTGTGCAAGCTCCAATCTCAGCCCGGTTCTCCAAACACTTTGGGAAACTCCAACTCCCTGATTTTTCTTTCTTCTCATGTTCCCTCATCGTGTTTGCTTTGTCCTTTCCAGCAGATGACTTTTAACATGCGAATCCCTGAAAATCAGAGACATGGGCTTCCCTAGCTTCTCTTACGTCAAGCCCCAAATCTGTATTCACAACTTTGACATCAGGGGTGATACTGAAAATACTCAGCGATCAGGGAAGAACGGGCACTGAGTGAGGAGAACTAGAATGCACGTTTCAGAGGCCTTCTGCTGGGAAGGATGTGGGCTGGAATGGCAGATGCGATGTGGAGAGAGCTGGCGTGTGAGCCCTCAGAGCCACAGCCACACCACCACCATTGTGAGAGCACTGCAGTATTTCACACACAGGCATGGCTGAACCAGTGGGCACTGGATGGGTGTCAGCTCCGGTGAAGTTTTCCTCCCGTTGCAGAGAAAGACCCTCTTCCAAACACACCTGTGCACACTCTGTGGAAGGCTCACGCTTGCTCTGGGCTTTTGTTAAGCGCTCCCTCCCTCCTCCTCTGGGCCGCAAAATCTAACTACCCACCTGTCTGTATACCGCTCATGGTTCTCCTTGTCCGAAAAGTACTATTAACTTCAGCACTGTCTTTTTATTTTCAGCCTCCTTAGAAGAGTTAGTCAGATGAGTTGATCTTTCAAAGGCAAGGTTAAGACTTGACATTTAATTTCAACTCACAACAACATGGCTCAGCTCGTCCTTTTCTGAAGAAACAGTTTTAGCATAACCACCTGTGCACTCCCAACTAGTAACTCACAGGCTTCCATTTCCATAGCATTCTGTCTGACACATTGGGAATATTTACCCTGCAAATCCTCTTCTTTCCTTGGCACTTTCTCTTTTTTGGTTTCCGTGACACACTTTCTCAGACTTCGTTTCCCTCAGGACATTACTTTCTGGTCTCCTCGCGTGGCAGTCCTGTCTTCGTCTGTCCCTTAAAGGTGGGTGTTCCTGAAAGGTGTTCTCTCAGCCTACCCCGTGTGTCCTTCCCTCACTTCCGGGCCTATGGCTTCCGAGGCTACAGCTCCGGGCACGCTGCCAGCCCCGACGCCAGCACACACAACGGCCCTGCTGCAGGAGCACACCCACACCTCACCACGGGTCCTTTGCTCCTCTCCCCTCCTTCTCAAATGTTGGTTAACTTAGCCACTTCACCTGCCTTTCGGCCCCACCACTTTAACTGAGGCCCTCTTACACCTTCTGATACTTTAGCTACTTTCTGTATTAATACATCATCTCTCCTGCCATTGTTTCCATTTCTAAAACTCAGAATTATAATTATGCACTGTGGAGCAAACCTTTCAAACCTTTCCATTACACACACACACACCCACACACACCCACACATGCGTGCACACACACCCACACACACCCACACCCACACCCACACACACACCACACATGCGTGCACACACACCACACACCCCACACACACCACACACACCCCCCACACACCCACACCCACACACCCACACCCACACACACCCACACCCACACCCACACACACACATACACACACCCCCACACACACCCCCACACACCCCCCCACACACACCCGCCCACACACACCCCCACACACACACCCACACACACCCACACACACCCACCCACACACCCACACCCACACACACCCACACACACACCCACACACACCCACACACATGTGCACACACACCCACACACACACCCACACACACACACGCACAAACCCTTCAAACATAACCTTCAAAAGACTAGCTTTCAACTTACTTTTCAAACTTCCCTGACCAATATTCTAGCTAACCTTAGTTTCTTCCTGTTTCCCACACACGTACATCTGTGTGTTATGCGCCAAATTGTTCCCTCACAATTTATATGTTGAAACCTTAATGTTTATTTGGAGATGGAGACTTTTAATAAGATAAATAAGGTTAAATGAGACCATAAGTATGGGGCTCTCATCTCTTAGAACTAGCTTTCTTACAAGAAGAGGCAGAGACCCTAGCAATGTTCACACAGAGAGGAAAGGCCATGTGGGGACATAGCAAGAAGGCACCTGTCTACAAGCTGAGAAGAGAGGCCTCAGGAGACACTAGCCCTGCCAGCACCTTGATTTTGGATTCCAGCCTTCAGAACTGTGAGAAAATAAATTTCTGTTGTTTAACCTGCCTGTTGGTTTTTTTTATTATGTCAACACTGGCAGACTAACGCACTGCGCCTTTGCCCATGCTCTTCTCTCCAAAAAAGTGATATATCTACATCCTGTACATCCTCCAGTGCCCAGGTTCAACATAGTTTCTAGGGCCAAGCCTTTCCTCCCCTCTCCCCAGCCATCCTTGGAAGGCTGGTAATTCTGGTCACAGCACCAGTGTTTGGGTGATGGTGGGGTATTGACTTAGCTCATGGGTAATACCCATGTTCCATTCTAGATGGTGAATTCATAAGAAAAGGTATTGGGTCTCATTTAGGTGTAGAATGTTAGGATAGGGAAAGAGAAACACATAGGAGGAGAATCTCAGGATTTACACTTGGAGAGACAGAATACTTTCGAATGATGACGTGGTCTGGGATGCATCCATAAGAAGTAGGTTAACTGAAACAAAAGAAAGTTCTGAATTTCCAAGAGCAAAGCTTTCTGAAGCCAGTGTGGTGCTATTAAGAATGAATGTATTTTCGTCAGACGGGGTGGCTCACGCCTTTAATCCTAGCACTTTGGGAGACTGAGGCAGGTGGATCACTAGGTCAGGAGATCAAGACCGAGACCATCCTGCCTTACACGGTGAAACCCTGTCTCTACTAAAAATACAAAAATTATCTGGGCGTGGTGGCGGGCACCTATAGTCCCAGCTACTCGGGAGGCTGAGGCAGGAGAATGGCGTGAACCTGTAAGGTGGAGCTTTCAGTGGGCCAGGATTGAGCCACTGCACTCCAGCCTGGGCTACAGAGTGAGACTCCATCTCAAATACATATATATATATATACACACACACACACTAGAAAATAGGGAGATAATGAAGAGAAATGGTAGCTTGGAAGAAAGAGGAGAAAACCATAATACTAGGCTGGGCACAGTGGCTCACACCTCTAATCAGCACTTTAGGAGCCTGAGGAACACCTGAGGTCAGGAGTTCGAGACCAGCCTGACGAACACGGTGAAACCCCGTCTCTACTAAAATGCAAAAATTAGCCGGGCGTGGTGGCAGGCACCTGTATTCCTAGCTACTCAGGAGACTGAGGCAGAAGAATCTCTTGAACCTGGGAGACGGGGATCACAGTGAGCCAAGATCGCGCCACTGCACTCCAGCCTGGGTGACAGAGCAAGACTCAGTCTCAAAAAAAATAAATAAAAAATAAGAATGTATTTTAAACATTTTATTTGCAGATTGTTTGTTTCTAGTATACATAAATATTATTAAATTTCTATACTGATTTTTGTGACTTGTAAGTTCTGCTAGCTTATTTTTAGGTTTCTTAATATTCTGCAAACAAGATTCTATGTCATTGATGACACTTTACTTTTTCTCTCCCCACTTTCTTGTGAGTTTTGTTTCTTTTTCTTGCCTTACTGTCCTGACCAGAACACCCAGTGAAATATTAAACAAAAGTGGTGAGAATGAAAATCCTTGCCATGTTTTTGATGTTGTACCAAGCAATCAGTATTCAGCTATTAACTGTGAAGGTGTCCACAGGAATTTTGTAGATTACTTTTATTCAGTTCTTTTTCTGGAATGCTGAGGACATATTTTTAATGAGGGTTGAATATCTCTAGTGTCTTTTTTCTCCGTATCAATGGAAATGATCATATAATCTCCTTTATTTACTTAATATGTCAAATTGCATTGATAGATTTAGATATTAAACCAATTTTATATTGCAGAGATAATGCTTAGTTATTCAGAATACATTAAATGATATGTATTGTTGAATTTATCTTGTTCACATTTGATTAAGAGGTCTTGCAGATATCTTTAAGAATATTGATCTACATGGTTTTTAAAAATTTATTTGTTTGGTGTTGGTATTATGGTAATATTGGACTCAAAAAATAAATTGGAAGGTATTACTATTTATTTTCTGGAAAAGTTTGTATAGACGTTTCTATTATTTCTATAAGAAGCAACAATGAAATAAATTTCTATGAAATTGATAAAAAGCTATAAATTTACCTCTAAGTGCTGCTTTATCTATATGACAATTTTTCTCATATTTTTATTTTCCTTCAGTTAAATACATTTTAATTTCCTTGAGATTTCTTCTTTGACCAGTGGATAAAAGTATGTTATTTGGTTTTCAGTTCAATTAATTTGTTATTAATATATACTGTTTTTCTCTGTTGTTAGTGGATATATTCTTTATTATATTAATCCTTTAAAATTTTTGAAATGTGTTTTACAGCCCACCATGTTGTCTACTTTATGTCAATCTTGTATGTGTGGTTGGAAAAATAGGCAAAATCTTGAGTTATTCCAGAGAATTTTTTCTAAGTATCAATTAAGTTAAAGAAATTTATACTCTTGTTGAAGTCTTCTGTATTCTTATAATATTTTTGTACTACTTTTATAGATTCCTAGAGAAAAGTACTAAAATTTTTAATTTTTTCCCTTATTTTAATTATGTCGTGTTTTGTTGTAATTATTTTGGACATCTGTTTTTTGATGGAAGAAAATTTATAAATATTGCATCTTCCTTCCCTGAGACTCTTTTACCATTACAAAATATCTCTTTGTCACTGTAAATATTTCTTACTTTTAAGTGTATTTTCATTGCTTTTTAAAAGATCTAATAATGTTTGAAGTTTGTTTGGAATATTGAGTCCATTTACATTTAAAATGATTGTCAGTAGGGTGGTGAGACTGACATTTTGTTATTTGTTTTCTATTAGTCTTATTTCTCTTTTTTTTTTTCTTCCTCTTTTACTGCCCTTTTCTGTATTGAACAGGCATTTGTAGTGTATCTTTTTAACCCCACTACTGAGTAGTTAGCTATAGATCTTTGATGTTTTTTCAGAGTTGCTATAGTGATGACAATATTATTTTAACTTATCAAAATCGACTTTAATGTTGACTTATTTCTTATAGAATATAGAAAATTTGCTTCATTCAATCTGCCTCCGTTTTATTATATTCAAATGTTGTATGCAAACACATAAAATAAACTGAAAAAGAAACACTGTTGTAACATTTGCTTTACACAATCATATGTTGTTAAAAAATGAAGAGATAAAAGAATGTACATACAGACATTTATGTGTGAATATGTGTGTGCACGTGTGTCTAATATTTCATGTTGCCCAGACATTTTCCTTTTCAGTGCTTCTAATCCATTTTTCTTCATGAAAGGTCTCATCTGGTTCACTCTCCCTCAGACCTGAAGGACTTAACTGAATGATTTCTTGTATGTAGGGCATACCTGTTAGCAACTAATTCTCCTAAGTTTCTGATAAGATAGAAGCGTTTTATTTCATTTTCATTTCTGCTAGGTAGTATTCTTGAATATGGAATTCTTGGTGGATTTTATGTCTATCTAATGTTTTCTGTCTACTTTTTTTCTGAAGTTAACCATTCTTTATTGTTCTTTCCTTTATATGTGATATATTATTTAATTTTTCTTTTCATTATCTATTGTTTACAAGAGAGAGTGTGTCTGTGTGTCTAGTCATAATTTTCTTTGCATTTATCTTATTTAGGGTTTGGTGAGCTTCTTTGACCTACAAATTTAAAATTTTATAAAAGTCAAGAAGCTTTTGGCCATAACTTGAATTTTGTTTTCTGTTCCCTAATGTCTTTTGGGAATTTTAGTTATTGCTTTCTTGAAATTAGCCCTCAGATTACTGAAGCTCTTGTTTTCCTTCATCTTAAAAACAATTTATTCATATTAGATTAATTCTATTCATCTAACTCTGGGTTCATTTATTCTTTCTCTTGCCATCTCAAATCTGCTGTTGTAGCCTGGAGTTAATTTTTTTCATTCCATACATTGTCCTTTTTAAATCTCTAGAACTTCCACTTCTTTTTCAATATTTCCATTTTCCCATTGAGAGTACCTATTTTCTCATATTTAGCAATTATTATCTTTTATATGAAAATAACTCATTTGGGTCATTGAATCTTTTCAGGATGTTTGTTTTGAAGTCCTTTGTACCAAATTTAACATATTTGCCCACCCAGTGTCAGTTTCCATTGACTCTTTATTTTTTCTGAATATGCCTGGTACTTTGCTGGCATATTTTCTATCTAGTATCTTTCATTAAACATTGAACATTGTAGATAACACACTGTATTATATAATTTTTTCTCTGAGTGTTGTTAGTTTTAAATTTTGTTTTGATTTGCTTCAATACTAAATTAACTTGCC